GAAAATATCAATAGACTGAGTAACAATAATGAAAAATGATAGTAGCAATTGTAGTCAAACTGGTCGCAATGGTGCATGTATGGTTAATGAACAGAGCACCAAAAATTCGTCATCTGGGATGACGAGTGTTGACTGAAGGGGAGGAGGGACTGAAGCTATGGCAATTTGAACAGAAAAATATACAATGGAACAAGCAGAAAGCAACAAGCGACTAGTCAAGCTGGGGCAGAAAATCAATCATCGCGTCAGTGTCATCTTCAGGTTCTGTGCCCATAACGGCTGGTAACAGACTGTTGAGCAAGGGCTTGATGTCGTCGTCCTCATCCTCTTCAACGTCTCTTAATGCCGGTACTAAGCTGTTCAGTAAAGGTTTGATATCTTCGTCTTCGACATCCCAATTATCTTCGTTCATAAACAAGTCACAGCCACGGAATCGGTCGGACGGTTGGGGAGAATGCGACCGGGGGACATGTGATTCAAGTGCCGTCACTGAGGTAGCAGAAGAGCAACGACGCAGCTTTCGTCCGACCTTGTGCCAGATAGATGTGCCTTCCGCGGGGTTTATGTGAGCCATATCACTGGGGCGGGATCGTAGAAGTGTGGCTTGATCATCGCGCATGCGTCGACCGCAGAAGGACAAGTCAGTGTAACTGCCACGCGAGATTGTAGGGGATGGAACACATTCTGCGATTTCCGGATAGGTACCGTTTGGACGAGGTCGGAGACATGCCAGCTGCAAATTGCCCAGAGCAGCGCGTTCCGCTGGTGTGACTTCGTATACGCCGTCTGGTGTCCGAGCACTAAATCACACGAAATTTTTCACAATGAATCAGTAAATGCAAACGAAGTAGTCAGTAATAAAAAATATATTCCAACGAGTTATTCTAGACAAAAAACAAAATTCTGACGTGTGCTGAACGACTGAAAGTGAAGCCAAAGGAGTCAGCAAAAATTTCGGAGCTTCAAGGCGTTCTTATTCATATGCTTGCGGTAAGATTGATTAGGAAACAGAAAACTTTATTACTAGCTGATACCATTCGTCCGAAAACATTCTAGAGAATTTTCGACAAATCTGGAAGGTGAGAAGCTCATGGGTATTGTGATTTTACTCCAGTTTGTATCGCCAATAATTGGAAGTTTGTTACGAGTTCGTAGTTGATGAGAAAACGAGTGTCGACATACGAAAGTTTCGTTGCCGAGTCTCCCAGTATGACTGGAGGTAGTTGCTTTTGCTATCAGATTTTAGCGCATACTTTATGTAAAGAACTTTACCAACACCCTCCGGAAGCATTTTCGAAACGGTTGCTCACTGGTGAGGAGGAAAGTTGACCGATCGAATTCCGAAGCCTAACTTGATATTCGGAGTATAAAAAGAGCTGATCAATCGCGGGTAATTGAATGAGTTACAGAAGTTGAGTAATCGTGATCTAAACCATCTCACAAGGCGTGCAAAATTAAACCAAATCACGATTTTCTTGCACGAGCGAGGAGAAATCTTTAGGGATGCCAGTTCTTTCTTAAAACACGGTGGCTTATCACATTCGACAGCAACTTCTAAAGGTGTACCGAAATCAATCAGTTTGCTTTGTGATCAGCTTCCCAGATTGCATAACCCACATGACCGTAATTTTCATGGATTGACTTGATTCTTGATAACCTTGGGCAATTCATTACTCTGAGGTTCGATCATCTAGAACAACCGAGGGTTATTCGATCGACCTTTTCATTTAGATCGGATTGTTCGTTACACCTGCTCTTGGTCATCACCTTCCACAAATTGCTCCTTTCAGTATTACGAACATGTATTTTTTGCATTTTTCCTTGCTGGCAAACCACAATACATACATTTCATACACGTCTGACGTCAGGCTCTGTGCCAAATAAATCATGGTACAATAATCTTTATGAAAAAGAAAAACGATCCGTGATTTACGTGTGCCATGTTACCCAGGCCAATGCAGGGGTAAACCACTATCTCAGTAATTTCATATCCAGAATTATTCATTTGGATTGGAAGGAGCAGTTAGGACATGCTTCCAGTTATCCAACTTCATCTCTTACACCGGTGACAATGTGCTGTTTCCAATAATTTGAAAATTAAGACTGACACTGAAAGACTTGGGATGATAGGTATGGCTGTCATACAACGGCTGCAGCGTGCACTGTATTGTTTTCATTACCCCACCTTGTGCAATGTAAATTCCATAATCGCGAAGGTATACTGCTCCCGCGTTAAATACGTGGGACTTGGAGTAGTGAACGATATCAAGTCCCACTATGTTAGGGAGCGATCAGTGAAGTTCGCTTCACTGTATTTGGTTGTATGATGATGATGAGGCAGGGTATTGAGCCGGACGACGGCGAGGCTGTGTACCACATAATCAAAGGTCAAATTGGATCACGTTGCAACAAAACCGAAATTGTCGTACATGTATCATTTCAATCTAAGTGGTTGAGGGAAAGGGATGTATTGGTTGAAAAAAAACGACTGTTTGTGACAATCAAGCATATCCTGGGTGATGAACAAGTAGATAATCATAGTAGTGTCACTACGATCAAGCAAGACATCGGCACCTATTGTCATATGTGGAAAAGTTTCGAAGGATCAGTACGAAATAGGTGGATTCATTGTGTACGATGGATCGTGAAAGCGGAGGAATCAGTTGCCTGGATGACGAACTCACCTCTTATCGTGTTTCAGCAAATTGTCTACCACTTGCACTACCTTGCGATAGCCATCTGAAATGGACGGATAGAACGGACGTTGTGGCACGGACAAGCCAACGTGAACCAGTTCTTTCTCGATTCGTTTCATTTCGTCTAACGTGCGCTCGAATAGCATAAGATTGTGCTGCTCCTCCCTTAGCAAGTGGTAGGCAACCTGGAGCACTTGTGGATAAGACAATTTGTCAATCGATTTTGGACCGCTGTAAGGCTCCAGATATCGGAGATCATCTTCGGAAAAACTGCACCGAATTAATTCATATATGACCGCTAACTCGCGGCGACGACTTCGTTCCTGTTCATTATGCTCATCTCGGGCACGTTTATCGATGCGACAATTCGAAAGACAATTATCCTTCGCCCCAAAAAGGGGCTTTAGTGGACGAAAGGGTCGGGCGACAGATGAACCAGAATGACGAGGTCGCTTATTGAAGTAGAGGGCATCGTCATCAGATGCGAAGTCATCGTCTACCGGTCCGCCACGTGCGCACGAGCCATATGGTCTACGACGATCAGTGCGGGGAAAGCGCTGTTTTCTGGGTCTCGGCTGACTCGACATATCCAATGGCTCAGGGAGGCAGCAGTCTGCGGAACAAAAATGGAAAGTTCGTTAGACACAGTTATGATAGATTAAACGGAGCATATTGATGTATTTTCTCATTATACACCGTGTGGTGGACAGTGGAATAAATGAAAATCGCCGTTCGACGAAGACTGATGGGAAATACCTCCATGGAAAACGGGTACTGCATTCTGTAAGAGTTGATGGGCTAAATTAACTTCCCGACCAACTCTTAGTTGATTTAATTCGATGCGAAATACGAAGATAACACCCCTTGTACCCAAAATTCCATTTATTGCAAAGCAACTTGTCCTGAACAGTAGAATGGAAAACCCTGATGCTACTTTTCCACATGATACACGAAAGTGAACAATATAAAAGTGTGTGGCGAACGAAGCTCCAATTACCCCGTTGGTCTGAATACAAGAATTGTTGTAGTTCTTCACTCCTCCAGTAAATGATTTGAGAGGAAAGGTGTGGTATCCGAGACAACCCAAGTGGTACGGATGCGTAAGCGGTTGTGAAAGTGACGTACAAGAAAAATCGTCACAATTCATTCAGTAGGATGGAGTGAACTGCACTGATGAATACTAGTCTCACAGTATAACTAAGTAGGAATAAGCAAGAAAGGTACTAAAGGGATGTGTTTCAGAGGAAGGAAAACAGAGCCTCAATGATAAATACAGAGAGGGTAGTCCAACACATTTATTCAAGCATTCTGCTCTGATGGGAATTGGCAAACCGAACACTATCGCAGCAGGTTCAGTGTCATCGCTGTTAACTAGATTAGTCAATCGCTGGACGGGTTCAGCGAAACAGTGCCCTAGACATCCTTGATGTGTTCACTCATCTAACCTACCCGTTAAAATTACCTACCAACCCAACTAAATTGCAGCTCCAGTTCAGCTAGATGAACTACGATGATCTTGTCGTAAAATTAGTCGCTTTGTGCAATGAGTGGGAATGTGTGGTTGATGATTAAACACCTTTTGGTGCTATTGCTCTTCCGAATGCTGAGTGGACCTTGGACTTTTCGATGGAGGAGGCTCCGCTTCTCGCACAGACAAGCGTGTATGAGGGGGCTCACAAAATCGCGATTCAACGAGGCGTTATAATCTGCATTTCGTTCAGTCGTGCATGACATACGGTGCTTTTCGGCAACGAGCTTTGGTGAGTGAGACCAATTGGCCGAGGAAATGTTACAGGTGGAAAGGTGAGGACTGGTGATAGAAGAAAAGGAAATAAACAAAGTTTAGGATGTTTGCATTGCACACCACCATCTCACCCTTTCGACGCAATGATCATTGCGGTTCTGATTAAATGGCGCGACCAATGTATGAGATGATAACGTATTACTACGTCATTTTATTGAATACACAATGACAATTTTCAGGAAGGGGGAAGCGGCCAATCAAAGGGCTGCCACACAACACACAAATGGGGAAAGTTAGGCGGTGGTGATGGGAGTCGAACACCACCGGGCCATCACCGTTTTGTCTGGTTTTTCATCTGAGTATGATTAGTTTTTGGGATAGTTTCAGCTTATATAGCCATCAACCGGTGAGGTCTCGGTGACTGTCGATTTGCTGCTCATTGAGATTGAACACAAAACTTAGGTTGGGAGCAGTTTCGAGAGGAATCAACCCATTATCGTAGTGGAACATAGTGAAGCGAACTTCCAAACTGCCTGCAAGGTAATGAGAATGTTTACGGAAAGGAATTGGGCCCATTTCTAGGGCGGAGAAAGTAAGTGAACCTCAATGGTTAACACGGAGTTTACAGTCCGACTTGGCATACGCACTATTCGAATCACTCTGACCTAAAAAGTCCTTTTACTTCCTTTTTATTTATTGAATATACAGATGCACAGTCAACCTTCAGGAAGGGGGGCTGCGGCCATACAAAGACTGCCTGGGGAAAATACAGAAATAGGAGACAGGCGGCGGTGAAGCGGCTC